GCCATGTTAAAACTTCTTCTTGCATAATTATAAGCATCTGTTGAATAAAAGCTTAACGTTAAGGCAAACGACCTAAGCTCAGGTGAATACTTTTTACGAGATTGTCATTTTCTTGATCTTTGACAGATTTCACCTAACATTCCAGGTGCTGATTCCTAAAAATACATGTTGTTTACATACACAGAAAGGATAAGTATTTTTTAACTTACGTGAATGATACATTGATCAGTTTCTGTTGTCATATTTCTTTTTCAAGAATTTCAAAAGAGAATTAAGGCTACAAATTCTGGCTTTTAGACGACTCTTTGCCTGCTGCAGACTTCGGATCTTTTGTTTGCATTTTTATTTTTTTCTTACAAATACTCCAATTTTTTCTTGCTCTTTTTGGACTGTCCATGTCAGAAGTATGGCATTCTCCAAAATATCGTGGATAAGGCCTTTTCCTAAAAATGATGAATTATCTATTCCAGATGTATTTTATATAAACACTTACGGTAGTAGTCTTTATATAAAATAAAATGGTAAATATAAATAGGTAACAAGGTAGAATTTTCTTGGTATTTTTTAAAATGTATTAGAATACGATTGGAATAGCTGTCTCTCGCAAGTACTATATACCTGATGGCTTTGCCAGAATATCATTAATCGTAAAATGATCAGAACAAACAAAAATGTTGTCGGTACTATTGACTTCACCTAGGGAGAGCTTCCACAAGTTTCTCCGTTCCAGATTATTAGGAAATCTAAAAAATACCTGTATTTTTACTGATAATATACTTATCATATTACTGAAACAGGAAAAAATAAGTTCAACAATTAAAAAAATATATCTTTTTAATAATTTAGATAATGATTTAGTTAGTATTTTATCACTGCTAATTAAGTACTAAATGTAAAACACCCTTATGTAATTCCTCAAACGCCGCCCATGTTGCTTGTTTACTTACCTGTGAAGAGACCGCTGCTCCCATTTTTAAATAAAACTTTACAAATAACACACTTTCTAACCATGTCTTAGCACTAAATAAATGTCCATACATAAAAACTACACAACAATAAGAGGAAAATGCCACACTAAACACAAATAAACTCAAATACGTTAATAGCGGCTACACACTTTTGCTTTGACAGATGTCATCGTCAATCATCGAAATGCGGACGTAGGCGGGAATGTTAATTCGACCAATAGAAATTTGTGTCTCCTGAAGATCTGATTTATTTATGTACATTCGCAAACAAATACATCCAAAACTCCTAGTGGTTACAATTCGTTGGTTGTGGCCATTGGGAATTTTGGTCAAGTTCAGGGAGACTAGACAAGGAGCACAAACTCATACGGGAAAATTGACAAAATTTGTCCAGGAAATGGCAGAAGTTGTGGTGTCGTTACTGTTCCATGTATACCTAAGTGAATGTAGCATAATAAATACGAGTGAAGTAAGCAAATAACTCTCTAAACGGTACATATGGGATATTAGCGCCCTCTTAATTTGGTAAAATATTTGTTTACATGAAGTTCGGGCTCCTTGTGTAGTCTCCATGGTCAAGTTGACAAGATCTATCTCATATCAAAAATTGTGACTTCGCTGAAAGCCATTTTCCATAAGATTATGGCGGGGTCCTTTGAAACCCTACTTTCAAGGCATATAGCTTCTCAGGGTTGCTGCTTAGTATAAAGGTAAGTTGCGATAAATCACCTTATTTTGGGATCCCCTACATGCCCCTGCTCTGTGTCAGTTCTTATGCGAAACACCCTGTATAATGATGAAACATGAATATATGAAATCTTAAATGCAATGGAATAAAATAGTACACAGCAGAAACATACACAAAAATAAGACAATGAAAAGAAAAGCAGTGAAACGTATAAAATTAATGTTAGCATGTACATAACGTGACATCAGTAGTAGAATTGGGGACAAATTTAAATAAAACGTAAATGTATGAGTATAGGTGCTTATTTCGATAAAACGGAAACTATGATAATCACGATAAGTACTTAAAGACAGAGTGGCATAATTATTAGGAAGGTAAGAAATTATAGGCAATTGGACAAAATTATAGAAAATAGCTGGAAAAAAGGAGGAACTAATTGACAGAATACGGAAGACTATATTGGAGTAGGGAAATTTTCATTCTAAAACAAGAAAAAAATTTTGTTTTTAATTTGTACAATTATATTTTATTACAAGTTTTCTGTCGCCTTTTCTGCCGCCGCTGTCGTCATTTATCGTTGTTTTTTGTTGTTGTTGTTTTTTGTTGTTGTTTGTTGTTGTTGTTTGTTGTTGTTTGTTGTTGTGTGTTGTTGTTGTTATGTGTTGTCGTTGTAGTCGTAAAATGAGTTTTGATCACCCTCTTTTTAAAGATCAAGTTATGTGGGGAGGCCCCTCTCCGTTAGAAATCCCTTTGTGTTCTTAAATACATATAGACAGTTAATAGCAAAGAGACAAAAAATAAAAAACAAAATTCTCTATATTTAAGTGTAATGAATTAAATATTCCTTGTAGCCGCCTCCCTAATTTTTAAATTATATACTCTTTTATGTTAGATAGGGTCAAAATTTACATTTTCCCGAAGACGAAATCAATTTTATTTTAAAAAAATTTTTACACGTACATTTTTTATAATTCTGTATAACTATCAACAAGAGCTAAAAACGTTTACCAAATTTGGTACCGATATTTCAGATATTTTAATGAAATTTGTTCATTTTAACCTGTAGAAGTATGAACGAAAACGTAAAGAACGAAAATTTTGTACTAGGAAATATTATATTTTTGCAGTTCCCTAACATCAACAAAAAGAAAATAAAATAAATTGCTAAATATATGATTATTTAGGAGTTATTTGTATACATTTTTTGATATTTCGGTTGATATTTTCAGATAACTTCTGTATAAAGCATTTGTATATTCTTTATTTTATATAAAAAAATGTTTTATGTTGATATAAAATTCAATCCTACTTATTTTAAAATAAGTATAAGTACTCGGGACAATACTCATATATTATCTAGCAAAATATGTCTTACATATCTTGAATTTAAATTCCATCTAAGTAGACTTTATTGCACCTGACTAATAGTTTTGTCCTTCACAAGTTCACGAGAGAACAAGTGTACATGTATTCGCTTGTTACATATTTACCTGCGGCTGATATCTGCAAATGGAAACAAGTGGTTGGCTGTAATTTATTAGTTTGCAAAATAGTGTCCAGTTGAGTTGGGAGTTAAATAAGTAAATTTATAAATCGAATAGGATACCTATTTATAAAAAATATCAACTATTGTCATACACTAGGTTTACGGCTACCTCGATAATCATTAATGGATCCAAAAATACTTTAAGATTGTGTTAACTCATTTATCGAATAACTGTTTTAGGTGTGGCTCATAAGAGTCATAAGTTCAATATTTTAGAAACAAATGCAACTGTAGCCACCACAGGTACCACAGAAAATATAAAGATTCTCATGTTCGAGCTGTCACCAATAAGATAATGCTGATTTCTCTTACGCATACTGGTGGAGAAGATAGGTAAGTAGTTATAGATATTGTAAAACACTAATCCTGCTAAATATCAATAATAATTGAACATTCAACTTCAGAAAACATAAAAATATATCGTTATGGAAATCAATTCTTACCTTACGCCTTTGCATATTTGATTTCCATCACATCTGATAGCGTAATTCCTATAAGTTGGTTTACAATATGCTTGTTTGGTCTTCACAGGCCGATCTACAATTTTTTGATTTGTGCAGATGTGCCTCCTGAAACAAGTATTATTTTGTAAATTGCGTTTGCATATTGTTAGATATTTCGTGAGTAATTTTATAAAATAAAAATCTATTATGTATTATTATATTATTATACAGATATCAATTTAGCTTGTTAATATAACAACAAAATAGTTTTTCCTTTAAAAGTAATAGTCTTTGCTGTATGATGTCAATGAAATAAATTTTGTAATTCAAATACAGGGTGTTTCGCATAATAACCGACACTGACATTGAAAACTGACAATCTGTCATAACTTTTAGTTCTCAATAACTTTCTTAAGTAAATATATTTTTTTTATTTTTACAATTTTTGAAAATTCATCATAAAAACACCCTGTGCATTAATTAATCAAACCGTGTACCTACCTATATTAAAAAGTGTGGATCATGGTATCTATGTATAGCGGTTGTTAAGTAAATAAATAAAGAAGTTGTAAAAAAAAATAATTAAAAGACATTACGAGAGAGTGTAATTTTAATAAAAATCTAAAAGGTTATGGTCCCAGGAGCGTAAAAAGCAAAGCAAAGATGAGTTCAACGAATATAAATCTTCCACAGTTAACGTCGGGCAATTTTAATAATCGGAAATTTAGAGTAATGACGTTATTACAAGAAAAGCAAGTAAAAGGTGCATTAGAGAAAGAAGAAACAGATTTAAATACAGAAAAGAGAAGAATGAATTCAAAGAAAAAGATGCAAATGCGAAATCAACCATTATAGTACGTACAATGTCTCAGTGACATTTAGATTTGGTTAAAGATGCACTGACATCAAAGCAAATGATGCAAGCTTTAGAAGATGTTTTTGAAAGAAAACGTATATTTACTAAGTTGACTCTTAAGAAAAAGTTACTCAGATTAAAACTGAAGAGAAACATGAAGTTAGAAGATAATTTTTTAAATTTTGACACAATTAAGTATAAGACAATTAGAGAATTCAGATTCGAAAATGGAAGAAGAGTATAAAGTGTGTCACTTAGTACTAACTTTAACTGAAGATTGTGATGCAGTGATTACAGCAATTGAAACTGTAAATCAAAACATAACTATCGATTTTGTAAAATCAAGATTATTAGATGAAGAATTGAAATTGNACTGGTGGAGAAGATAGGTAAGTAGTTATAGATATTGTAAAACACTAATCCTGCTAAATATCAATAATAATTGAACATTCAACTTCAGAAAACATAAAAATATATCGTTATGGAAATCAATTCTTACCTTACGCCTTTGCATATTTGATTGCCGTCACATCTGATAGCGTAATTCCTATAAGTTGGTTTACAATATGCTTGTTTGGTCTTCACAGGCCGATCTACAATTTTTTGATTTGTGCAGATGTGCCTCCTGAAACAAGTATTATTTTGTAAATTGCGTTTGCATATTGTTAGATATTTCGTGAGTAATTTTATAAAATAAAAATCTATTATGTATTATTATATTATTATACAGATATCAATTTAGCTTGTTAATATAACAACAAAATAGTTTTTCCTTTAAAAGTAATAGTCTTTGCTGTATGATGTCAATGAAATAAATTTTGTAATTCAAATACAGGGTGTTTCGCATAATAACCGACACTGACATTGAAAACTGACAATCTGTCATAACTTTTAGTTCTCAATAACTTTCTTAAGTAAATATATTTTTTTTATTTTTACAATTTTTGAAAATTCATCATAAAAACACCCTGTGCATTAATTAATCAAACCGTGTACCTACCTATATTAAAAAGTGTGGATCATGGTATCTATGTATAGCGGTTGTTAAGTAAATAAATAAAGAAGTTGTAAAAAAAAATAATTAAAAGACATTACGAGAGAGTGTAATTTTAATAAAAATCTAAAAGGTTATGGTCCCAGGAGCGTAAAAAGCAAAGCAAAGATGAGTTCAACGAATATAAATCTTCCACAGTTAACGTCGGGCAATTTTAATAATCGGAAATTTAGAGTAATGACGTTATTACAAGAAAAGCAAGTAAAAGGTGCATTAGAGAAAGAAGAAACAGATTTAAATACAGAAAAGAGAAGAATGAATTCAAAGAAAAAGATGCAAATGCGAAATCAACCATTATAGTACGTACAATGTCTCAGTGACATTTAGATTTGGTTAAAGATGCACTGACATCAAAGCAAATGATGCAAGCTTTAGAAGATGTTTTTGAAAGAAAACGTATATTTACTAAGTTGACTCTTAAGAAAAAGTTACTCAGATTAAAACTGAAGAGAAACATGAAGTTAGAAGATAATTTTTTAAATTTTGACACAATTAAGTATAAGACAATTAGAGAATTCAGATTCGAAAATGGAAGAAGAGTATAAAGTGTGTCACTTAGTACTAACTTTAACTGAAGATTGTGATGCAGTGATTACAGCAATTGAAACTGTAAATCAAAACATAACTATCGATTTTGTAAAATCAAGATTATTAGATGAAGAATTGAAATTGAAAACAAAAAGTGACAGTAAAAATGTAAATAAGGGAATATTAAATGAATAATCTATATTTCAAGCTTCTTACATTGTATGCTGCAGGTGTAGGAAACAAGGAACAATAAAATATCAGAATGTGATAAGAAGACAGATAGGAAAGGTTCGAATAGAAGTCGTGGAAGAGGATACAGAAGAGGAATAGGAAGAGACAGAAGAAATACAGAAACCGCGAATCAAATAGAAGAACAGCAATTAACATTCATTGCTTTAAATTGCGAAAATATTGTGAAAAATAAAAATTAATTGGTCCGAGTTATTTCACAGAATCGACTAAATGGCGAAACTTATTTAGAATTTCTCCAAAACACTCTCCCGGATCTGCTTGACGAGATACCACTGCAACTCAGACTGGAACATTGGTTTATGCATTATGGAGCACCCCCTCATTTTAGTAATAATGTTAGATAATTTTTAAACCAATAGTATCCAAATAAATGTATTGGAAGAGGAAATGATTGCCCAAAAGTTTGGCCTCTACGATCACCAGACCTCAACAAATGTGACTTCTTTCTTGGGGAACGTGAAAAGAATTTGTTTATTTCTCGCCAGTTGCGTCTCGAGCAGAACTGTGGAATCGCATTGTGCATTTATCCGTATAAATGCACATGCATTCATTTTAGAATTAAATTTCCCTTAAAATAAAGTAATAATTGTTTAAGTCCGCCAACGGGTTAAAATATTCTGTCACATTTTAATGGTGCATTGAAATGCTTCAGTTAAACTCGATTAATGGATACTTGATACACTCACACCAAATTTGGTTTTTCTAACTACAAGTATAGCAGCTTAGTAGAAAGGTAAGTTGCGTTAAATCATCATATTAATTTGGGTTCCTGTACACGACCCTGCTCTGAGTCAGTTGTTACGCAAAACACCCTGTACATTATATTATAATTGAGTTCAATGTTTACTTTGTCGGCTTGGTTAGATACGTATTCTTTTCTTAATAATTGTATTTCAAGGATAAGAAGAGAAATAAATAATAGCAAACACCTGCAAACTTTAATTTCAATAAATTAAGTACCTACTGTGAAAAATTAAATAACATTATATTGCTTCTCACAACTGATTAACTTAACTAAGTAATTAGTTGTGACGAAGGTTTTAAAAAATGTTGGTACTTATTTGTATTCTCTTCCATGAAACTTGTTTTAAAAATTAAGATAATGCTTATCTATAGCATGATGACTGAGAATATAATATTTTAATGATATTCTTTCTTTATTTTAACGTACCTACTACAATACCAACTACTAAAAAAATTTAGTGTCTTAATATCCTTTAAAAAAAATATTTATGTTTCATCCAATGTGGGACATTACTGGAAAATTTCTTAGATTTCAGAAGTCACAAACTAATCTTAGGACATATTTAGGTTAGATACAGTCATATCCGAGAGAACATCATGCAATATGGATAGAAATCGACGAATCTCCAATGCGATATCCAGATTCTAGTTTCAATATGTTGTCATAAATGAAATAAAAAGCCGCACGTATTCCATTTCTCCCAATATTCATTTAGTATTTGTTTAGTTCATACTTTATATACGTATACTATACACGAACTATATTTATAATGTTTTCATATTGATTTAGGTTTAACTTTTCTTTATATATAGAGAAAATAGTTATAAAATATTTTTACTATAGATCATCACGTGAAAATTTTGGATTCGTCACAATTCTGTCGTCTTTGAAGATATTGAAAAGAAAAAATTCCTTATTCATTAATTTTTATAAATCAAAAACAGTCGAGCATCGCACTCCGAGAAATTAACTCTGTTTTGACTATTTTAACTTTAAGAAACATTTCTGGGAGCTGTTCTAAAATAAATTATTTATCACAGCCAACTAGGGGAATCATAAAATTAAAAATATATCTAATACCTTGTATTCTCATATTTGTAGAAATAATTATGACGTCGTTGTAAAGCAGAAGAAATTATGTCTAGACCATAGCCAACTACGATTCTTATTAAAAAATATAAGTTTGTTTTACAATTCCGTAATCAGGTGTACTTAAAAATTAATAATAAGCATTAATCAACGCTGAAAAGTTTATATACGGCAGATTTTATCTTAATTCTAATCTATTTCGTGGCACAGATATAGAGGTGGTCAAATTATCAAAAAAAAATTAATGCTGTCCGGTATCCCGAAAACAAATGAAGATATCAAATATTCGATTTCATAGTTGTATTTTTATGAAAGTTGAGCACGAAAACGTCTAATCTTTTCTGTCTTTAGAAGTTTCCGAAGTACTCTAAAATCCCACTACTACAAAATACTATATATACAATATCTAGTATTTCGCTACGACAAGTTTTGTTATAATAAATAATGTTTCTTTAGGGGCCTTTTCATACAATATTGTATATTGTATATTGCATACTGGATATTGTATATTGTATGTTGTATATTGTATGTTGTATATTGTATATTATATATTGTATTTTATTTAAAAACCACACATCTAATCAAATTTGTAATTGCTTTCTTTATTTTTCACTTTCTAGAAACTTAAATCTTTTGTTACATATACAGGGTGTTTCATAACTCTACTGATACAGAGATATGCTGATTTGTTATATGTAACATTTTTTTCTGGTATGTACCCTTGTAGAGATATTGGCCTCTGAAGATGAGTGCTAAATTTTGAAAAATAATATTTCAGAAATGTCTTAACATTGAGCAACCAAAGAATGACCCCAAAAAACCTGTGATTTTCGCCGGCCCGTTTTTTCACAATTCGCAAAGAATTAAAAAAAATACATAAAAATATGTTTTTGGTCGCAAATTGTTTGTCGTAAAAAACTGACATGAGCATTGCTTTTAGTATTTTGAAAATTTTGAAAAATAATTTGAATATTACCAATTAATATAAAAACTATTAGCATGTCAATTATTCTATCGAATAATTATTGATACAAAGAGAGATTTATTTTCATTACAGTAATAGGCATGTTGAATTTGAAAATCCACCCTTAAGCGCACTTAGGGAGTGAAATCGTCCCCAAAAATAGAGAATATCAGAAATAATAATTGTAAAAATTCCAAAAAAAAAATATTAAGAAAATTCAGGGCTAGCAAAATATAGATTAACTATTCATAGTAAGTTTAGCCCTGAATTATTTTAATATATTTTTTTTTGATTTTTTTTAATATATTTTTACAATAATTATTTCTGATATTCTCTATTTTTGGGGATGATTCCACCCCCTGAGCGCGCTGAAGGGTGGATTTTCTAATTCGACATGCTTATTTCAGTCATGAGAATAATATCAAGAATCATTCGATAGAAAAATTCACATGCTAATAGTTTTTATATTTATTGGTAATATTCAGTTCTTCATTTTGGGCGCCCTTTCAACCCCTGACTAGGGGTGATTTTTGAAAATTTTCAAAAAACTAAAAACTATTCTCATCTTAATTTTTTACGACGAGTAATTTGAGACCAAAAACATATTTTTATCTATTTTGTTTAGTTCTCTGCGAATTGTGAAAAAACGGACGATCTTAGCGGTCACTCTTTGGTCCGTGAGTTGCGTTTAGTGTTAGCTTTAATTGGTAAATAGGTTAGTTTTAGTCTATTCTTTAGACGATATAGGTATTTTTTTTGTAATTTCTTTCGTATTTTTGTTAAATTTATAATGGTATCTGACATAGTTTTTTAAATATATTTTCAGGCAAGAGGAATAAAGTTTTCAGAAGTCATTCATTTAACTGCTCAACTAGCATTTAGATCTGAAACAGTTAATGCATGGTTTGGCGAGAAAACAACCTAATTAAAATAGCAACAGGACATTCTTGGAACTAAATTTAAACTGGGGTGGCATTAGGTGTGTTGGATTTATCTCTTCCTAAGTAGTACAACTGTTGAAAACGTTCTTTTATATTTCGATAAGATTAGACATTATTGTTATTTTAATTTACTGAAATACAATTAGTAAAATTCTGTTTTGGAGTAGGTATTATCTTCGAAATTATTGAGAAAATGTGAGCAGTCAGAAGATAAAAATCCATATGGAAAGTACTTCGGCATTATTTTTTTTTAACAAATACCTAATCTTTGATTACTTTTAAACGTTACAATGAAATCAATGGCAACATGTAATTTTAATGTCAGCAGATTTTGAAAATATTATCATATACCTAACATATTATTTTGAAGATTTTAATTTTTACTATTTTGATTTACGTAATTTTCTCTGAAAGTATGATTTGTGAATTGGATAATTTTAGATATCAAACTGAAAAGTTACTACATTAGTAAAGAAATCTGTCAACTAGTGACAGAGACATTGTCACCGAGGACCCTAGAATTTCGACGTCACTGAATATTTTGGAAATTGAGTAAGTGTATAATATAGGTATATAGGGTGTCCCGAAATTAGGGGACGATATTTCTACAGGGTGTTCTATGTCCAAAAAAAAGAATACTTTTTCTTTATATAAACGTGGGTCCAAAAATTCTTCCTAAGGAAGTTATAGCCACTTAAAGGGGCCAATCAGATGAAGGTTTTTTCTAAATAACTCCGAAACCAGTTAGAGCTATTTATTTAGCTTTTACTCATAACAATTTTTTACACATTAAAGTTTACAGATTAAGAACCATTTCTATTTCAAGGGACCACTCTGATGATGATTTTTCTAAATAATTGAAATCAGTTGAGATAAATTTATAAAATTTGGTAACTAGCTTAACTCTTACGCGCTCAGTCCGCCACTGAATTTACAAATTTTCATCACATACGTTCCAACACTGGGGGGGAGGGGGGTAAAATTTACCATAACCTTTTTATGCGTTGACTTTTTTGACTTTTGACTGAAAAGTATGAGTTTTTTAGTAAAAAATGTACTCTTGGTTCATATTGGTAGAGTGTTCCATTTTTGTGTAAAATCCGTTTAAAAATAATATTACATGTGTTAATCACCGGAAATCGAAATTTTCTATATTTTTTATCATCGCAGGTTTTGAATAACAAACATGCGTTTGGCCTCATTTGCATTGACTTGACAGTTCAGTTATTTACTCTTTGCGAATTGTTATCAGTCGAAAATGCAATAGTTTACGAATGTAGAGCTAGCAGATATTCATAATACCCATTTCCGGTCAGACGAAAATCCACGGGCAATACAGCGTACAAATTTTCAAAATAGATTTGCAATAACTGTGTGGACAGGACTTTTAGGGGACCAGCTACTTGGACCAATTTAGTTTCCCGTTTGTCTGAATGTAGAAAGATACTTAAACTTTCTGCAAAATGATGTAAGAGAACTATTGGATGATACACCGTTAAACGTACGCTTAACATTACACTATCAACAAGATGGGGCATCACCTCTCTTTACCCATAATATCATAAATGGTTAAACGATCATTTTCCTGGCAGGTGGACAGGTAGAGGTGGTCCCATTCCATGGCCACCTCGGTCTCTAGACCTAAATCCTCTAGATTACTTTCTGAGGTGTAGGATGAAGGCTGTAGTTTATGCTACAGAAATAAATCATTTGGAAGAATTACATCAGAGGACTCATTTATTTGGCTGCAAACTTTTTTTTTTACTCTGTCAAATAATAATTTACTAAAGATAATAAATTTATATGAAGATAACAATTCACAAAAAGTGAATAACTGAACTGTCAATGCAAATAACGTCAAACGCATGTTTGTTATTCAAAACCTGCGACGATAAAAAATATTGACAATTTCGATTCCCAGTGATTAACACATGTAACATTATTTTTAAACGGATTTAACACAAAAATGGAACATTCTACCAATATGAACCAAGAGTACCTTTTTTGAATAAAAAATTATGAAATTTCATACTTTTCAATCAAAAGTTAAAAAAGTCAACGCATAAAAAAGTTTTAGTAAATTTTACCCCCTCCCCCTCAGTGTTGGAACGTATGTGATGAAAATTTGTAAATTTCGTTTTAGTAGCGTACTGAGCACGTAAGAGTTAAGCTAGTTACCAAATTTTATAAATTTATGTCAACTGGTTTCAGAGTTATTTAGAAAAAATCATCATCAGAGGGGTCCCTTGAAATAGAAATGGTTCTTAATCTGTAAACTGTAATGTGTAAAAAATTGTTATGGGTATAAGCTAAATAAATAGCTCTGCATTTTAATTCATCAAAACGGACGTATTTCTTAGTGTTTCATCGCCGACAGCCCAATTTTTGCGCGGAGATTCTCCTTCCTGTCTTTTTTTTGAGGACGACAGTTGTCGTTTTCTTGGCAAGAGGTTTGGTTGGTGTGTGAACCACAAAATTTACGCTATATGCGGATTTAGTAGCAAATCTTTGGGAACAAATTCTGTTGTGAATAGTGAATATTATAATCGTATCAACCTTGTGGAATTCGTACCCTACTGAAAGAAATATATACCACAAATTGTTAGACATACAGTTATTTAGTAGATAATTAAATTAAATACATTTCAAACAATAGGTACTATATTGTTATATTAGGATTAAAAGTGTTACTTTTGTGGCGAGCATATTTTTGTATATGGTATTGTAAATTGCGAGACAAAAAAGACACTTTTAATCCGAATAAAACATGCAATTTTTTCTCCAACCAAAATCCCCCATTTAATTATTAATTTGTGCGTTGAAATTATTCAAACCAAATTTATCGATGTTTGTAGTCATGGATACTTTATCAAACATTAGTCGCCATATTGCTATTGAGCTGATTTGTGATTATTTGTGGTTCAATTTGCTGAAAATTCTGTAAAAATGAAATCTAATGAAGATTTAGGTGTACCTGAGGATATACTGGAGTGTGCGAAAGAGGTTTCTCTTAATCTTCTCCCAAAGAAATTTCGAGAAATTTATGAATGTGTCTACCAACGTTTTATGGAATGGAGCAAAGAAAAACATTAAATTGTATTCAGAAGATGTATTGATGGTGTATTTCTGAAACTGAGCAAATAAAATGGAGCCGTCACCGCTTTGGTCACAATATTCAATGTTGCGGTCAACGTTTGATATAAAGAAGGGGATTGATGTAACCAAATATTCAAAGTTACGTGCTTTTCTCAAGAGACAAAATGAGGGATATGTACCGAAAAAATCGCGAGTATTTACAACGGAGCAAGTTGATTGGTATTTGAATAGTGCATCTGATAATTTATATTTGATGATGAAGGTAAACATTTTAAAAATAAGAGAACAAAATTTTTAAAAAGCTTCTTTATAGGTCGCCCTCATATTGGGGGTTACAGGCGCATGCCGTTCTGATGAATTAGTCAATTTAACAATTGATAATGTTGAAAATGTGAAATCATCCGTCATTATAAAAATTCCCAGTACCAAAATCAAGAGATCATATTATTTTACTGTGCTGGGAGACAATTATTTAAGTTTTTATCGAAAATATGTTGCTTTACGTCCACCCGGATTGGTAGAACGCCGATTATTTGTCAGATATGTTAGTGGAAAGTGTCATCGAATGGTGGTTGGTATTCATAAAATCAGTGTCGCCTCGCAAGAACTGGCAACATTTTTGTAGCTGGACAGCTGAAAAGAGTGCAGAGCATTACCACGAATGTCTGCTACCCTTTTAGTTGGCGGTGGTGACCTCACTTGACTCAAAAGACACCGATGATGGAGATCGAGCACTGCGGCGGAAGGCTACATTGAAGACTCACTTTTGAATAAAAAAAAATATTGTGAAAAAAATACTGAAAGTTGGTAGTGGCAATGATAAACCAAGCACCGTTGTAATTTCTGATTTCACAACATCTGAAAATTATATAAGTATTAATGAAAACATGTTGGACTGCTTTGAGAATTGCTCCAAGAATGAAGGTAGTGGCAGTTTCAGTGGTTTATTTAATTTTAATACTTGTTCAAACTGTGCATTTAATATCAATATGGATAAATAAAAATTATTGTAAATACATATTGTTGAATAAACTTTTATAAATTAAAACTTGATTAACACTTAAAAGTGAATGCTTTTGTTGTTAAGATACCATTTTTTTATCTCACTAAGGAAAATGTCAACCTTAGAGACTTTTGACAGTCAAAAAATGTCATAGTTTTGTGACGGTTGGAGAAAAATAAATTTATTGTAAGTTTTGTACAAATTATTCTCAACCACCATCGACGCCAACGACAATTAGCACATCTGCATATGTGACAGAACTGAAGTTAACTAATCTAATATAATAAAGGCGTAAATTATTAAATTAAACTTAATATAAATATCTGTGTTATTACAAAACTTTTATTAGAGTATTTCTTTTCGTAAAACGTATTATTTCGGCGTCAGATAAGACCCATAAAATTAAGATCCCACTTCCGAAAACACCCTGTATATTACGTGGTGCATACAATAAAGACATTGCATGCATATATCTTCTGATCATGACAAGACAAAAGAAGAGTTTCAGTATAGTACATAGAGATGTTTATTTTATTTATTACTAATGCAGAACCGTACGACCACAAGATAAAATGTCATACGGTTAGTAAAGAACTTCCTAGTGTTGTGCTAGATTTTCATTTATGTTATGCAAGTGTAATTTTAATTGAATTGAAATTAGATAAACATGTTTCAATACGGAAAATGTAGACTTTGTGCTTTTCCATTTTGTTGCCGTAATAAGTAAAAGTTGAGATGTAATACATAATAACAAAAATCTTTTTTAAATTATGAACCAAAATATGACTACGTTATTAATTTTCTTCGATAATCATTAGGTAAAATTACCATTTCATCATCATGATCATCACAAAACACCGCAAATTTTAAAACGATCTAAGTAAAACTAAGTTTGGTAATTCTTTCATCATCGCCACCGTCTATAGTCTAAACTGTCTAGACAATAAGGAATATCGACGCTACTAATAATTACTAGAGTTCCAATTCCAAATAATGCACATAAGGGGGATCGCAGATTTAAACAATTTGTAGCAGATTTTCGATTTTCTAAATTTCCTTTGTTTTCAAGAATAATTTATTAATTTACTGGGAGAACAGGTCACAATTAAATAATTTGTTGTAAAATTTTTTTATTGCGATCGTTTCGGGATTATTATCCCCATCTTCAGATAAAACAATAATAACCATGGATTATAATATTTTTCCTTATGTAAAAATTAAAATCTAAAATTTGTTTAAATTTCTATTTAAGACAATACACATTAAAAACATTTTAAAACTTACAATTATCATCAATTATTTAACATCCTTTCCTAATAACCATATAACGTAACACAATCAAATAACAACAAAGAAATTAATATTGAATTGAAATGTGAAAATTATCTGTTCCAAGTCTAGAT